TGAAAAGTACTGAGTACTTTGACCACTGAGGGGGATAAAAATCACTTCACCTTAAATGTTGTAAGTTCCTGAGACTGTCAGCTGAATTAAAAGAATCTTCAGTAAATACTATTTAAAGCTTATTAATACAGTTAATACATAAACATTGTTATATCTGTTTATAAACTGTATTACTTTAAAGGAAGGATTGTGTGTTAATCTGTCAAGGCATGGCGTTTCATTTGAAGATCAGGTTTTTGGATACACTGTCTTTTACTAAGAACTTAATTCATTTCATGTTCTACTCAGTTGGACATTATCGTAAATGTTGGAAAGCTACTAATATGGGGATTATCTGAATTGTCTTGTAGCGATCTTGTAGTGGTCAAAACATCTTACTGATTTGTTCACTGTAGTAGCCTAATATACATATTATTCAATGTATCTATGGATTTATTTTATATTGGTAGCATATGCTGTTTATGGGAGGGGACGAGGGGATTACTGAATCTTGTAATTCAATAGCCAAAATCTTAGCACTTAAATAAAATTTAAAAAAGAAATTTTCTTTGATTGAAGCTTGAATGTTGCCTAGCATGATTGTACCGTGCTCTGCTCTCTTCCATTTCCATTATCTATTGAAATACATGCCTAGAAAGAGTTTGTGTTGGGTTTTTTATTATTATAATTTCTTGTTTCTATCAATGCAAGGCTAAAGTTATTTCTTTAATAGCACCAGTTACTTTGTCCAGAACCAGGCAAAATAATATGTGACATTCTCTGGCTTCTAAGAGTGGGTCAGGCAGTGGTGACTGGGCACAGCTCCAGTCTGTGTGGAATTAACCAGAATGTTTTTTTTCCATGGCTAGGCAGACCCAGGTTAGGGTCACACATGTGTAGAAGTCAAAGGAACTAGCTGTCATATGTAAGTTGCATTTGTACTGCATGACTTTATTAAGGGATTGATGCACACAACAGACCTGCAAATGAGGAGTTAAAGGTGTTTAAGTTAATGTTACCTTTAAAAGTAGTGTTTTCTATTATGTTTAACACTAAAGAAAAGAAGCTTGCAAAACTTGCTTTGTATTTGATCTGGTCTGGGGGATTTTCAAATACCCAAAGGCAGGTTTTAATAGCCTCCCTCTTGTACAATACTGAGGGAACAACTTTCATTACCTGAACACTTTTATTTTATTGACTTTTGTGGTGCATTTTAAATGCTAAAAGAATTTTAACTTTATCGTAGGCATGAGTTGCAAATGTTTTCTTTTGAGATTACATTGAGTCTTCTTTATAAAACAAATTTAAAAAATAGTTTATGTTTTATCTTTCCATTGTTTAATCCCTGTAGCTGTCAGCTCTCATGACAGTTTGAAAGTAGATCTCAGAAAGTATTTGGATGACTTGAAATCTGTCTTGGGACCCCTGAATTTCAGACGCTTGATCATCAGTGCTGAGTTCTCAGCTCCTTGGCAGTGCATGTGGAAAGGTGCTTTATCAGAGAATCTCACTCATGTGGGCTTACGTAGTACCTGAGAGTGTACATGGTAAAAACTAAGAAGCACTGTATGTGGACAGATGCTGAACAGAAAAGAGTCAGGAAAAACTTCCAATTCCAGCAGTTGTACAGTAGCCAAAGTCTTCCAGAGTTAGTTGAGATTAGGAACTAATAAGCAGGAGCAGAAACTGGAGATGCTAATCACTCTGTGGGCTGTCAGCAACTGCCATGTCAGATCCATGCTGCATAATCTCTTGCACAATGGTTTAGTTTTCCGTGAGTTATGAAGCATTTGGAGAAAGAGAATGCATTGTCTCAGTGAGTTGTATGGATGTATCCTAAGAGGATGCATAAAGTGTAACTATGCCAATGACATCAGTACAAAATGTTATTAAATCCTGTCCTCTTACACCCAATGTGAGAATCACACAAACTTGACCTGGACCTAAAAATTTTGCATCTTACATGCTTAAGTGTATCATACATTTGAGGTAGGTTAGAAAGAGAAGTGCATGTTATGGTGAACGTTGAGAGGGAAATTTTGTTTTCCTTGAACTTGGCGGAGATGAAACATTAGTGTTAGCAGCCATTCCTCACCTGTGGGAGACCTAACGATTGACAGATAGCTCATCTGTAATAGGTGTCACAGGAATGTCAGTTATATCTCTGTCCCTCCAGCATAGCTGACCTCCTTTCAGAATTGTGTGCCTTAAAACAAGATTCCTATTTATTTTTCAAGTCACCCTTTCTTTAAAATAAAAAGCTAATATAAAACAACTCAGTGAACTCTGTGACATCACCATCAATCCCTGTCTTCTGTATGAATAATATAAAATATAATTGTGTGTGGGATAATTATTACTTAACAGCCTGAATTCAAAACAAAATTATTGATCAAAAAATATGATTGGAAGCAACTTTAAAACATAAAAAAATGTTGAGTTTTGCTGGATTTTTTTTCTTTTGTTTTGTTTGTTTGATCGTTTAGTTTAAGCCAAGGTTGTGTGTTCTTTATCTGGGTGCTAATTCACTGGCCAGTGTTTCACTGACACTGACAATTTGATCCATTGTCACCCACAGAATGAGTCAGGTTAGAAGGTACCACAGTGGGTCATCTGGTCCAACAGGGTCATCCTAGAGCACATGGGACGGGATTGCATCCAGACGATTCTTGGATATCTTCAGTGAGGGAGACTCCACAGCCTCTCTGGTCAATCTCTTCCAGTGCGTTGTCAACTGCACAGTAATGAAGTTTTTCCCTATATTCAGGTGGGACTTCCTGTGCATCAGTTTCTGTTTATTGTCTCCTGTCCTATTGCTCAGCACTACCGAGAAGAGCCTGTCTCCATCCTCTGGGCACGCTCCCTTCAGATGCTGGTACACATTGCTAAGGTAAGGCTGGGTTTAAACGCGGGCTCGGCTCGCCAGGCCCGCCCTCAGGGCAGCGCTCCCGCTGCTCCCGCCCGGCCCCTCGGCGCGCGCCATCAGCCCGGCCTCGCCAATCAGAGATGGCGCGGGCTCCTGACGTGCCCTGGCCGCCAGCCAATGGGCGGAGGCGACACGGCCCGTCACGGATTCAAACGCGGCGCGGGGTCGGCGCGGCCGCGCCAATGGAGCCGCGGCTGGTGGGGCCCGGCCCTTACCGCGCCACACGCCTGGTGAGTGCTCCGCTGCCCCCTGGCAGCTCTGCCCCCGCGGCTGCTCCCTCTCCAGTCTTCTGGGTGCTGGCCGCTGCTGCCAGGCTCGCTCCGTGCGGGGCGGGGGCGCCCCGTGCTGGCGCCGCGCAGAGCTCGGCGCTGCGGAGCGGTGCGGCAGGTCCAGCCTTTTGTCCCGCCTAAGGAAGGTTAAAGCCGTGTCCGTTGGAGGGCAGGTATATGGGGCTCTAACTATTTCAGCTTCCTAGACCTGTGTTTGTTCTCAGGTCTGGACAGTCTAACTCCTGGATTTAGCTGTCAGTGTTCTCTCAAACGCAGATTAACCAAAAAGTGTGTAGCTCTGCTTTCGGAGTTTCAAGTTTCTGCTTTCTGATCGCTCTTGCAGAGCCAAAATGCTCCTGGGAGAAGAGTTCCAGTAACGATTTGCTTTGTTCTCCTCCCTCAGTGGAACGAGATAATAGAACTCTTCCGTGCTGGGATGCCCGTACGGAAGCACCGCTATCGTTTCAAAAGCTACGATCGTTGCTTCAAAGCCTCGGAAGCGGTGGATATTTTACTTGAGCTACTCGGCTCTAATCAAAACTTCGGCCCAGAGGTGACTCGCGATCAGACGGTTAAGCTGCTTAAAAAGTTCCTGAAAAATCATGTTATTGAAGATATTAAAGGAAGGTGGGGCAAAGAGGACTTTCAAGATGATGGCCATTTGTATCGGTAAGCTTGTATAAGTTGATTGAATTTTTTTTTTTTTTTCTGGAAACAAAGTGTAATAACTCTTATTCATGTCTTACAAGTATTTTTGTAGAATACCTCTGCAAAACGGTTGATGTATTCCTCCCCTTCGTTTAAAAGACTTTGTTTTTCTTAGTAATGGGTAACTGTCAAAATTTAATGTTTGGCTTCAGTTTTCTTATCCGTTTTTAAGTATTTTTGAAGGTCGCTTCTGTTCAGTTACATTCTGTGAATACTAACAAAATCTATTACAGTTTCACAAGTTAGGAAGTTCTGATTGCTGTCGGTAGACATCAGGTTTGTTGGTGTTGGAAGAGTGCATATTAAGGTGAGGTAGGTGGAAGTGAGAATGCCATTGTTCATCCATCTCCAGTTGTGCTCCCTCTCCCCGAACTCCATGACTATTTTGGTTGCTGTTTCTACTCCTTCTGAGAGAAGAGAAGGGCCTTCTCAGTCTAAGTAATTTATGATGTAACCTATTTTATACTCCTTAGTTTATAGATTGAAATTGTCATAGAAGAGACAAAGCTTTGGTTGCTTACTTATCTCAAACAGGTGGCTTGTTAACAGAGGAAAAGAATTTTCTTTGTAATAAAAACTTAGCGTTACTGGAGTGGATTCTTTGACCTCTTGTAACCACAGTTAAGGTTTAGATGTCCAGAAGTTGTGCGTTATGAATTTATACCGTCTTGTAGTGTCTTGTTCAGTGCAAAAGTAATATAAAAATTACCATTACCTTAAGTACAGATATGTAACTTTTAGCGTGGTGAGTCTTCTTTTTAGGAAATGGGAGTTATCTTCATGCAAAGCAATAGGGAAAATAAGTTAGCAATAAGCCTGTACTTGTTATAGCTTTTACTGCATACTTAAAATTTACATATTAATTTTCAGATGTTTTCTTAATATCCTCTTTGGGAAAATAAGTAATACTGAATTCCCACTTGCTTTGTATGAAGTTTATTTTTCACTTTGCTCTATTGCTCTTTTGCTCTAGTTTGTGTATAG